AATACAAGTAATCTTCTAAAAAAAAAATTCGACATTTTCACTCGTATAAAATAAATCGTGGATTGAAAATCAAAATTCTCTGCCATCAATCTCCATTAAACAAATTGATGAATATAGAAATAGAGAGGAAGAAAAACGTAGCAGCAACGATCCTCGCCATTTTTCACGACGATTCGAGATCGATTCTACGACCCCCCTCCTCGACCCCTCTACTTCCCCCTTCCCCCAAACGATTTATCTTCCGGCCGGGCACGAAGGATTACCTTTTGACAGTGGCACAATCACCTCGTTCCGCGCTCAGCAGGAAGTGCTTCTCAACTGGGCCAAGAGTATAGTCCGTGGGCGCGTTTAGAGATTGTAGCGATGGTGCTCTCGCGTCATCCGCGAGAAGATTCTGTTGCGACTCGGATGGATTCATTCTTGCTTCGATGTATATTCCCGGAGATATTCACAGGGAATGGTTCATCGAATATATATACGTACCTACGAAAATTCGTTGAAAAATTTGTTCAATGCGAAAGGAAAAAATTTTTTGGCAGTTAGAATTATTATCGTATAAGTATTTTTCTTTTTTTTTTTTTCATGGACGAGAGAAAAGAATAAAGAATGGACAATTTCGACCTTTGTCCTTTTCCAGGCAAATTGATGGGGTGTGATATGAAGGGAATGGAAGGGAGATCTTTGAGAAGAGAAGAAATCGTGGATATTCAGATATTTTTCTCTTAAATTTGGGAAATTTGTTAATCGTTGGGAAAAAGTCAATGTTGGGATTGAAATTAATTTGTTAATTGTAGAAAAAATTAATATTGGAGTTGAAATTGAGATAATTTTAAAAATTCAATATAAAATTGAGTAGTGATATTAAACGTGGAATTGCGACGAGAGGGAAAGTAAGTTTGGATTAAACACAGAGAATATAGGATTCTCTTTGTAATGATCCGAAGATAATCTTATGAGCGTGAACACGTCATAGTTATCGATTGCTCCGCATTGCTCTTATAAAATCCATAATTCAATTTCGATATTTAATCTGAAAGTACTTAATATGGATCCTTGACCGCAATATTTCCACTGAAGTCCATTCTGTATTTAATTTTTCCTTATTCTACAAAAAAAACAAAATGTGAAAGTATTAAAACGATGAAAAAAAATATTCGTTTCATACGAGTTGAAAGATTGGACGAATTTTTAACGAATTATTACAAAATAAAATTTCGAAAATTATTCAAAATTAAAATACCTATGATAATTCTCTTTAAAATATTTTCTATATTAAAGGAGAAACATTTAAAAATTTTTATTGGTAGATATTTCATAGTCTCCAATTTCAGTTAGAGTTTTGTAGCAAAGCTTCTGAAATTACATCTTTGGTTACATGAAATATAAGCACATCGGTGAAACAATTTTGTCTAATTAACTAGATCACTTCTACTTTCTCCAAGATAAACACGGTACACCTTTACGTAAAACTTTTTTTTTAATATTATTTGATAAAAAGATTTTTAATATTATTTGATAAGAAAAAGAAATATGATAAGTATAAAAAAGTATATTTCGACTAATGAATGAGAAAAAAGATTTCACTTCATTACTATATAACCTATAAAATATAATAAATACCTACTCGACATAAAGGACAAAAAAACTTCATTTTCACTGCAAAATATATATCAATAAAATAATACGATAAATTAGAATCATCTTTCGTTCAACGTAACTTATAACCATTTGAAATCATCTAAATTTCATTTTTTACCGCATCCACGCACAATCGACACGCACAATCGACACACGCAATCCGATCCGTACCTCGTAATGTTTCTACATCAATATGAACCGACAATCATCATCGTAATCTTCATCAACTCGATTCTCTTTCGATGTCTTCTGATCAACTTGAGTTATAACTAGAAACTTGGTGGCTAACGATAATAGAATAAAAGCAATGGTTCACTAAAGCTCTGGATAGTTGGTCGAAGCCATAGTACGTCGGTCAGCTAGACATGGATTAGGCACAAACACGTGGATCGCATCGAAACAGGAATTGATCACATGTATATCCACGTGCATAAGATCTGGCAACTCTCTCTTGAATCTCTTCATAATTCTTCTTATGGATTAACTTATCAAGGAACAACGCGACATTTCATTCGTAATTTTTTTTGTTAATCTTCTGTGTATAGATCAGAATTTGTTCGAAAGATTTTTTTCTTTAAAATTTCTTTCTTCAAATTATTAATAAATATAATTTAGAATTGGTACGTTGATTTATCGATCGAATAAAATAATACAATTGCGAGAATGATGATAAAATAAAATTAAAGAAAGATATGTAATTTATGATAAATCGCAAGTAGTAAAACCTTAAATTTGACAACGTTGGTTGCGATAAAAGTGAAACGACCCAATAATCATTATTTAATGATTCGTTGATCTAATCTAATATGTATCACAAAAAAAGGCGCGTGAGATGTTTCTCAGAGATTTTGTTCTTTTTTCTTCATTTACCTTTAGATTTGAAATAATGAAAACAATGAGGACTGATTCAGTTGAACGAATTCGCGCAATTCTTTTTCGTCGGTCGGATCGTACACGTGTACACTTGTACTCAATGAGATTTTTCGAGGTTGATTAGAAAAAATGATGACATTTAAGGGATTCGAGACTTCTTCTTATACGATGTGTAAACTTTTTTGCTTATTCTTGTCGAATGGATTTTTGGATGATGTTTCCTTTAGTTTAAAAGAATAAATTTTTTTCTTATGAAAGAACTATGTTCATTTACAACATGTAATTTAAAAAAAAAAATAATAATTTTCTAAGAAAACGCGTCCATTGATTTCAAAGTTAAGATCATCTGCTAACTAATTAATATTTGTAATAGTTTGTTATATTAAAGTTAAAAATATGTCAAAAGATTAGTGATTAGTTTATTCAGAATTGGACAACCCATTGAAAAAATAACTAATTAAAAATTTATAATAAAATTATTAAAATACTTGAATAATATTTGTTGTTATATTATAGTTGATTCGTTTTTCGTATAGCTTTGGCCATTTGATAATTATTTGCAATTATTATTACGTTTTGAACAATAAATTTGAAATAATTTATCTAAGTAATTTTATCCTATTATAACTATTGAATTTTGTCCATTACTGTTTTATCTATTATTTATCACGTAAATAATAAATATTTTTTACCTCCACCTTGTTCCTTGCCTTCTATAAAGTTAAAGCGACAGTTGCAGACTAATTTCTATTCATAATCTTCGAATAACTTCGGTTACCATTCGACTGAAGTTAACTGCGGTAATTCGAGCATTTCGAATAACATCACCAGATAAAGTAACTTTATTTGAAACTTTAACTAGTTACTTTTTTTAATTCGTTAATTCCCAATATTGGATTAGATCATTGATTCGCATAAAATAATATATATGTATTTTTTTCTTTAACAAGTAACGAGCAATACATGCAAATTCAGAGAATCTGGAGGAAGTAGTAAATACTAATTTATATCAGACTAAAAAAAAAAGACAAAAGAAGGGTGTGAGAAACATAAATCACATTTTTCCAGCCATTATTTCTTGTCCGTTTAATTATTTAATTATACGCGTGTATTAAATTACATCCATTTTAAGAATGATGTTCAGATTACAGACGATATTACAGTGTCATAATACTACAATCGTAAAATAGTCGAGAAAAACAATAATTAAATTCAAATAAAGCCCTATTTACGTATCTTTAAAAAAACTTCTTCGAAAAGAAAGAGCTAAAAAAACAAGATACAATTATCGCTTAACTTCAAATGATACAAATTCGTTACGTTATTTTATTATAATTTGTGTAATCTTATTTCAAATATTTATGTATAATTAATCTTTTAAAATTATTATATCTTGTTCTTATCCCGCAATAAGTAAAAGCATTGTTCCAAAAAAAAATCATTTTTTCTATTATTCAATCTTTCTATTTCTTTATAAATTTTCTTATCGCGAATCTTTATCTTTTTTTTAATTTTCAATTGTAACATTTGTATCCTAGTGTATTTTGATTATTTAAGAGATATAATGTTTATAAATCATACGGAAAGAAAAAGGAAAATAAAAAAAGAGGTTAATTTTTCTGTTACGAAATTTTCGTTGCTATTTCATCAATAAATAAAATGACAAAGATGATTCGTTGATAATAATAAATGGACTTGGCCAAAATATTTTTCGATACAAACAATGGAACGATGATATCTTCGTCATCGACAATGATTGGCGATCGTTCGAACGTTCGATTTATTTTTTTTTTCTTTTTCGATTTCCTGTGAATTCGATTCGCGTGCAATGTCATGTCGATGTCGAGATCGGTGATACAATTTTCTTATATACACGCAAGTGGATGCATATTAAAATACCCAGAAGAAACATTATAGAACAACGTTATTCGTTCGGCCATTTTTATTCAACTGAACAAGTGTATTTTTAAATAATTTATGAAATGAAATAAAATTTAAACAAATCTAATTTTTTTCACGAATTATTATTTTATAATAATAATGAATTGGAAATCAATGCAATAATTTGTGCAGTTCATATTATTTATGAGCTACAATTTTTTTATTCAAATAAAATAATATTCAAAAAAATAGTTGTATTACGATACAAATGATAAATCTTCAAATTTTAAGTAGAAAAATCTGTATACCGTCGGACTGTCAACTTGTTACGATCCAATGCCGAACTATACTATTCGTTTCCATTATAAATTAAATTTTAATAAACATCTTATCACATCACACACATATATAATATATATATATATATATATATATATATATATATTAGTTACAAAAACATTAAATATATAAAATAATATAAATTAAGAATTAATTATAATAACGCTAAGTTACAAAGGTTAAAAAAAAAACCTGCTCTATACGAGTAACATTATTAATTTATATTGAGAACGAGAAAACATGAATCGAATCTATAAAATTTATTTTACAAGAAAGCTTACGAGGAAAGCTCGTAACTCGATATATGGATCGGCCAATAACAACGTTGTCCATGGGAAAAATTTGTAAGATCGTAATAAGGCGAGGCGAGTCGTCCCGAGAGGTCGACACACGACAAATCTCGATGAATTGGCGCGATGGATCAAGAGAGTTTCTTTTCTTTTTAATCGTGCTTCGTGCCGAGTCGATCCTCGAAAAAGTCCAGGTTTTCTCTGTGATCGACGTCATTATTGTTTAGGCTGTTGCAAAAACGCAGTAACCTTGCCTCGTACGGTTGGATGTCCTCGTTCGACAATAGATTCGAGCATATTGCTGTCACGACACTGTCCGGATAAATCTGCATGCCTCGACCGTATCTGATGGAGAGAATTCATTATATAGAGTGATTTTTATTTTGCGACATCATTTCGTATTATCGTGTCTTCGGCACGATCGCTTCAAGAAATGAATTAAAATCGACAGCTATGAATACCACGCACAACCGAAGTTTAGTATGCAGCAAGTGATTATCATACCGAAGAGAATTGTAGAAAATTTTAAAATAGATAACAATAGAGAGAATTTAAAGAAATTAAAACACTTTGATCTCAGACAATTCTAAAGATTATCTCGAAGTTATTTTTCACGAATGATCAGACGAAACCTTCGTAACTCGAGCGATTTGAAATCAGCACTGTATCGAAGAGAATTATTGAAAATTTTAGAGTGAAGAAAAAAAAATATATTATCTCGAAGTTATTTTTTCACGAATAGTCTTCGATCGAAAGAAACTTTTGTAAATCAAGCGATTCAAAGCAAGCATCGTACGGAAGAGAATTATCTTCGATCATTAAAAAATTTCCATAAAACGGAATTCCATAAGGAATCTCATAATTCAAACAATTTGAAATTTTGAAAAGATGATACTATCCTTAAATCGTTACAACAGAGTCTGCTACCTGATGAAATTCAAGTCGTTTCTTCCTCGTTTCTGCTCCCTGTTCAAGCTCTTGAAGCCTGCTCGGCCGAACCTGATCACAATGTCGGGCGACTTCCAAGTGCGCGGAGATCTGTTCGAACCTCTGTCACCGTCACCATTGTAAAATCTTTCTTTGCCTCTATCGGGATCATTACGCTCGTCTCTAACGAAGAACGAACCGCTGCATCCTTGGAGATTCTCTTTCTTGTCCGAGCGGCAGTCGATGCTGTGTCTCTTCAATGCTTCCTCGAACTCGTTTGGCGCGTCTTTGAAGATTCTCAAACCTCCATCGGCCTTCAGAGTGGTCAACACAGAGGAGGAAACGAGGACGCAATTGCAGATGAAGGGCAGCACGTACAACGACGATAAACAGCTCCTCTGAAAATAAGGTACGATCGAAAAAATATATTTTACATCATTTTTAAACAAGTGAGAAAAAACGGAAGAATCGGTTTATAGAGAGTTAAAATTTGTGAGATTATTAATTTCTTTTGATGATCGATAAGGAAGGGAAAGGGGAGAGATGGATGCGTCGCCATTTTTAAAAGAATCGGACAGATGTTATGTATTTTATATAACGAGAGACGAATGAAGATAAGATCGTCGTTATGTAACTTTCGACAATGTGGAATCCTTTATTGAACGGAGTGTATTTATACAATAGATCGTAGTTATCAAGATTCAAAGAATCGATGCTTAATAACGTTTCTCTTTGTAATTTCGTAGATTTCTTTTCTCTCTCTCTCTCTCTCTCTCTCTCTCTGTCTCTCTATATATATATATATATATATATATATTCATAGAATATTTCCAAGCAATGTTCAATTCGAAATTTCCACGAACGTTGATCGTTAAAAAAATAAAAAAGAAAAGAAAAGAAAAGAAATATATCGGCCGTGAAAGATTAAAATCCTAATTCTAAAACAATAGAGAATAGAGGGCGGGATTCTCAAAGATTCAATGTCTAATTTACAATTCTCTATAAAAATGGCGCTTCATCTCTCCCTTATTATCCTCTCTCTTCTTTGCTCAAAGAGAATTCTCTGTTAAAAGGGAAGACACGAAATTGTTTTTATCTTTTCAGAAATTGAGAAAACGTAACATTCACTGGTGATAAAAGAGATTTTTCACGAAAATTCGCCTCTCCTCTCCTCCTTTTAAGATTTCCTCATCCAAATATCGAAAATTACTGCAGGAACGATTCTGTTACAGATTATCTCGAAATGCAGATGTCGCAGAGGTCGCGAGACAGGGTATAGCGATAAATAATATCGGTTTGTTATTAGCCGGTCTTAATTAAGGATGTTCGGTAATATTGCGGTACACCAAGCCGAGATTAATGGCGATACCTTACGTTACGTTAATTAACCCCGGTAACACGGTCCACCCTTCGCGATGATCGCGTCGCCTACGTTTTCTGCTAAAAAGCTGGCAAGGATTTACGAGGATGAGTCGAGAGGATGAACGGACATAAATTATGGCTTGAGAATAACATCGATGCTTCGCTCGGCGATCCGTTATCTCTCTTTTATTCGATCTAGCTTTTCTACGCTTCTTTGAGAGAGACAAGAAAAAAAAAAAGAATAACCTTTCTCTTTGACTTTTTCCTTTCTCGCCTATAAAAATAATATATAATATTAGATCGACAAAATGATAGATCGAGAGATCAAACGATTAAAACTTTCGATATGTCCTTCGATCTAAAAAAAAAAAAAATATCAGAAAACGCTATTAATACTTGTCGAAACTCTGGCGTGACATTTGCGCCGATAAATTTTTTCCTCGCTAAGAAAACTTCTCTTGTCCATTTTTAACCTTAAATCTTAATGAACAATTAAGAGTGATCATCATTCTTTCTCTATCTCTCTGTCAAAGGAAATATGATACGCTCTTTCTACAGCATTCCCAAGCTTTGTTACCTAACCTCAACTTTTTCAACTTTTTCGTTACCGCTTTTCTCTGTCTCTCTCTTTGTTGTCTTTATATATTTCAAAACATTGGCAAAGAAACTGTACTTTGAATAACGCGGAAGAAGAAGAGAAAAGAAGGAAGAAAGAAGTTGAATGAATATAAGATTAAAAAACCGCCCATCTGATATCGTATTCGTCGTTCGCAACGAAGGAAAATCGACTTCGTAAATTATGTTATCCCCCCCCGCCTCTCTTCCGTGTATATAGTATATGTATCTAACCTTTTAATAGCAATTTATACGGCCAAGTCGGCGAAAGGGAGAAAAAGGCGAGAGTAGGTTGAAGCTGCTGAAGGAATTTTAAACGTGCGCACTCTTGCAAAGGAAACATCTTCTTTTTTACGACACTGTGGGGTATAATCGGTGTGCAAGAAACGAATTAATCTTTAACTGTATGTATAGTGAGATGGAAAATGCGTCGGCTCTCTTGTGCCTTTCTAAAGTGCCCCGATAAAAAATTTAAATACGGACTTAGTGGCGGTTCAAAGCTTGGAAAAGCGATGATAAAAATCGTTAATCTTTAAAGAAAATTTAAGAGAATTAAGCGGAGAGCATTGTTTAACACACGTTTAAATAAATAATAGTTCAAATCGCGTTGGTAAATATTTAAGAAATATTTGCGTAGAAAAGATGGATTTAATTTTACCTCCCAATGTATCCGATGTAATTCCTCTCTGGCAACTGGATTCATTTATACATATTTCGAAATGTTAATTTCTATTATCCGCGTTAATAGTTCAATACTCTGAATTTCGTTTATTTATCCGAATTCGATTAGATATTAGGATAAAGTTCGACCACAGGTTTGATCCACTTATCTAAAAGCGGAATCGAGCGAAACTATTATAGGAGAACTCCATTTAAATCTGATAAATTATTCCGCGTATCGATAATAAATCGTAATAATAAATCGTAATAATTTTCTAACAATTTTTCTTGAATTGCTTTATCCCCTAGATTAGTTTCGACGTTTCGTAAGGTAAAAAAAAAAAAAAAAATTGAATCAACATAAGCGCGAAACAATGATATTTTTTTGACCGTCCAGAGGATTGACCTTGATCTTTAGGCGAAGTTGATATAGAAAACACGGCGATGTAATGAAATGAGTAATAAAAATCATAAAATGAATATTAAAAGTCATCGATTAAAAAATAACAGAGGCAATTTTCCCCTTCGCGATTCCCCCAAGGGATGCAGCCCACAAGTTGAAGTTAAACTGTTATAACTGTTATGATCTAACCTTTTATAACTCGAAAACTTTTATAAAATTACAATTTTATTTATTCCCTTATGCTCCATATTAGAAATAGATACTTTTAATTCATGTATTTCGTGATTTATCGTTTAACTTTCGTTCGACTCAAATTCAAAATTGTTGATCGATCGATACAAACTCGAGATATTAACGATCCTAGAATTTTTTTCAGGGAAACAAAAAAGAATTCCTCTAAGAAATATGTTAAATAACAATTTTAAAAATTTTAATCTATTTTTCTCAGATAATTGAATTTGAAGGAATCAATGAAATCAACAATTAAAAATTTTTTGTTTTGATGGAATATAAATTCAAATAAATAATAAAGTTTCATCAAACTGGGTGAAGTTCAATTGTACTTGTCAGTGTTTGCTCTGGAAATAGCGATCTATTCGTAATTCGTTTCACCAGCCACGGAATTTAACACGTTCACTGTGTTGTGTATCCATGTCTCAAGTTCGATCAAGCACGTACATTTTTATCGACACGTACACATGTCGATTCAAATTAAAAATCACAAGATTTTGAAGATATGTAATTTTTGTTATAATTGTGTATAAATTAAAGAATAATATCTTCTCTCGTTTGAGAAAATCTAGTTCGAATTTCGAAGATTGAGATTGAACGTCTAATTAGCTAACAAACATTACTCCTTAATATCTTCATATTCCGCAAACAAGAAATAAAATAAGAATTATTTTTTTCCCATTTAAAAATTATTTCTTAATTCAAAAACTAATAGTAGGAAAAAACGAAAGAAAAAAAGAGATCACTCGATCACTCACCATGTCGCAACTCTCGTTATTGTGTGGCTACGAGGGAGATTTTTCAATCGGTCACCGAACGATGTTTTTCCTCTTTCCTCCGAAAGAGCGTGTGTATGCGTGCGCGCGTGCGATGTGCGGTTTTCGACCGATTCGTTGCACGAGACGAAGAGGAAGAAGAGAGACGGCAGGGAGGAGGAGAGAACAGAGAGGGGGGAAAAAAACGTTCGCGTACTCGAAGAAGGAAGATTGTACGCGAGGTTTGCGGCCTGTTGCTGCGGTGGAACGAGTGTGTACGGGGGTTAGAGATGACACCCTTTATATAGAGGCACCACTCACGGCGCATCCCCCGTAGCCGGCTCGGTCCGACACCGACCGAGACACAGAGACGTGATAGCCTGAGTTATGATTGCCCGTGTCCGTATAACGCGATACCTCTACATTATTTTGATTCAATTACATCCGACGGCAGCACCACCGGCCCACGTAATTCTCCTTTATTATTTACGACACTTGATAAATAATAATCTATTCTATCCTAACCAAAATTTCTTACGTAACAATCGGATAATAATCGGCCTGCAAAATCGGCCAACAAGTTGCCACGAAGTTATCTAGGTTAGATCGTGGATAAATTATCTATTTTTTTCTTTCTTTCTTTTTCTTTTTTTTTATAAGGAAAAAACTACAATATACAAGTATACGTTAAAAAAAGGTTAAGATGAGACATTTTTGAATTTGTTATTAACACTTGATAATTAATTATTACTATACTTTTTCGATTAATCGTTCTCTTTTTTTTTTTTGGTTAAATTATTAAATCGAAAACAATAATTTTACACGCGATCTTTTTTTCTTTCCTCTCTTGTCCGTTGTTGAGATCTTCAAATTAGTAGATTTGGTAGATTTTAAAATCCGTTCGCCTTCAATTTTTTTAATAAAGTATTTTCGCGATAATTTAATTTATCTCTCGCCGATAATGTTGTCATTGATGAAAATTCGAATTGCATGTGACGACTTTTTCTTTATAAGGTATATTTTTTAATATAAAATATATATTATTGTAAGAAAAGAATTATTATAGAAAATTTGAATTAAAAATTTGTGTAAATATGTTACATGCATATAAGATTATTTATATTTCATCGTCCATTGGTTAACTATTTCCAATTATTGCCATTTCTAGTGAGATTTTAATACAATATCTAGAAAATATCTTTTTCAGATTAGAACATCGAATCTTGATTTCGCGTTTTCTATTAATTCTTCAAATACTATTATCATTCATTTTCTTAAACAACGAGTAATTGTAAGAAAGATTTATTATTACTAAAATCTAAAAAATTACTTTTATTAAAAAAAAAAAAAAATTGAGACAAAAATTAAAAGTAAAAATTAATTTTTTATCTCTCTCTCTCTCTCTCTCTCTCTCTCTCTCTCTCTCT